TTGAGACAGTCACACTATGTTGCCCTCGGTAGTGTGCTGTGGCATCACAGATCACAGCAACCTCAAATTCTTGGGCTTAAACAATTCTCTTGCCTCAGCCTCCCAAGTAGCTGGAACTACAGGTGCCTGCCACAACACCTGGTTATTTTTTGTTGCGGTTGTCATTGTTGTTTAGGTGGCCCGGGCCAGGTTCGAACCCGCCAACCTTGGTGTATGGCTGGCACTATAACCACTGTGCTACAGGATCTGAGCCTAGTTTTTGAGTTTTTATAAGCCAAAAATCTATGACATTTTCCCAAAGCACTCTTGCTCCTTATGATGGGCAAAAGTATATTATAATAAAGAGATATGCACAGTTATGATAATGTAGGCTAACTAAGGGTAAATAACTCGCCATTACATGGATAATGCTGTGTGCTAACTGATTTTCCTTTATGGTAAATATAGTGTTACTGTATGATCACACACAAAATTGGGGGGAAGTCCGCAGGCAATAGACTGTATTAATTTGATTCTGCAAACATTTGTAAGCACTTTGAAGGGTTATAATGAAAGTCTATTGACCATCCTAGAAACCAAGAGGAAATCAGCATTATTTGGCTGAAATTTATGAAAAATCAATGAAAATTTTAAATGCATTTTACTGAGTAGTTTTGACATGCTCAGCCTGATGCCAGACACTGGTAGAGAACAAGGGGTGGGTTACATTTGGTCCTTGGTTCTTTTAGGAGTAGCAAAGCAAAAATGCACAGACCATAAGTGGCTGATGGTAACAAAATGAGACACAGGGTATGAAAGACAAATGCTCACGGCGGAAGAGTGAGCAATGTGGGAGGCAGAGTCCAAGAACTGTGGAGGAGAGAACATGAGCTAGACGCTGAAAGGACAGAATTGGGGATGCCAGAGGTGAAGAGAGAAGGGCATTTGGGGGCACAGCGCTGTCCCCACCCGGGTGTTCAGAAGAGGATACAGGCCTCACCATCTGTATCTGAGCACTTACAGCAGGAATGAGAAACAGAAGACAGCGCACTATCTGTGCTGAGCCATCACTGCTTTCTCATCTGGTCTCCCCTGTGCCCCATGAAAGGCGTGCGAAGTGCCTGACAGAGAGAGGTGTGTGCGGGGTGGGGGGTGCAGGGGGAGCACCATCGGGCAGAGCCATCTGGAGATCAAGTTCGTAACCTTGGCCTTGTTAGCTCTGTGATCTGTCTGTATGTATTAACCCCTGCTCCCTGTGACAGAGAGAAAATGCACCTGACCTTTGTCAAAGACAAAGCCAGACACCAGTTAAAGTGCTAGCGGATAGGCTATTCCGTGGTGACCACTGCAGTGGGCAGAGGTTGGGGTGAACTGAGCTCAGCTTGGATTTATGCAGAGGTGACTGGGTGTTTGAAAGGGAGAATGGGGCAGTGGGCAGGGGAAGCAGAGGGGGCCAGGGCAGAGGCTGGGTTTGTGGATTGGTACTTGTTTAGAGGAAAGCAGACTCCTCCTCTATCTCTGTGACAGGAGATAGTGGGGCAAATCAAGGAGCTCCCCTCACTGGGAGGCCAGGAGAGAGAGCAGAGCTGTTTCCCTGAATGTTTGGATTCCAAAGAGACAGCTGCAGTGCTTGAGAAGACAGTCCGGGTGGCAGAAGACCAACACCACCTAGGAGGAGAGGAAGTATCTACAAACACCTGCTATGTACAGGAAGTGCACAGAGGTGGGGTGGGGGTGGGGCCATGCAGGGGCTGTCAGTCTATTACCAGGTTCTGAGGGGAACAAACAGCAATTCTCCCAGCAGCCTTCAGCATTCTCAGGTGGACACTTTAAGGGGAACTGGGGTCATCTTAGAATGTAGCCTTAAGCTGTTAGAAAGTACCTTGGGGGGTGGGGGAAGGAGGAGGAGGGTTGGCGGCAGGAGGGAAATGAAATAAAACAATAATAATAATAATAAAAGAAACTACCTTAGTGTTTGTTTAAGGCTTTTAGTAGCAGGGTGAGTGGAATGGATGAAATCATTTGCGGCTTCCTCAGAAAGAGGGTCAGAGGAGGCTTTCTGAAGTTCAATCAGGAAGAGAGTCTCCAACCCTTCGATACAAAAGTTGCCAAAAAAATGTATACACATTTTAAGAAAGGAAAAACTGTATTAAAATCGTAATTCTCAAGTTACTTTGACTTTTGCAATTACAAGAGATAGGAGATGCAACATACAAGATAACAAACGTCATTGGTAAATATTGAGTATTACGATTTTAATACAGTTTTTTTCCTTTCTTAAAATGTGTATACATTTTGGGGTACCCTCTGTATTTGTTCAAAAGGCTCCACTCAGCTCACTTTAAAAAGACACATTCTGAGTTTGCTATTTGGTTGTTATAAAACCTGGGTCTTAGGGCAGTACCTGTGGCTCAAAGGAGTAGGATGCAGGCCCCATATGTCGGAGGTGGTGGGTTCAAACCCAGCCCCGGCCAAAAACTGCAAAAAACAAAAATAAAAACAAAAAAACCTGGGTCTTAGTCTTTGATTTTGGTTCTTGGGTTTTTTTCTCAATAGGATCACAAGGGAGTAGGAAGATAATTTTGCATAAGTTATTTCAGCTCTTAGTGTAGCTCTTAAATTCACCTTCCAAGACTCCTGCACCAGGCTGAAGACTTTAGAAACCAGAATGACCTTGAAAAGCTTTCTCCACCCATGGCATGGGCCTGAGCAGGTGCCATTCAGACTGGCCTCCAGGGGTTGGGCTTCTATGGGTAGCAGGCAGGCTGCACTTTGGTTACCCCAGCCTGGGCAGACACCCTGAATCAGAATTAACTGTTAATGATGTTGTCAGTGCCACTCTGCTGGGGACACTAAAATGCACAGAAACGAGGCTCTAACAGCTGTCAGTAATTGGGTCACTGCCTTCCCCTCAGTCCTGGCCGCCTATGTTCATGCCAGCACCTACTATCATTAATGACCCTGCTGCCAAAAAGTCTCACCTTTGCCAAGATGTTGGGCTGGAGGAACACGTGCTCTTTCAGGAGACACTGAAAGTCCTCGAGAGAAGCACAGAAGGAAGATGTGAGTTCACATATAGAAAAAAGTACAAATGATCCGCTGCTCAGTAAATAGAATTGCCTGGCAGTGGCTGAGTCTGCCCCCTCACTGTGGGCCGTGCTTACTTCAGGTGGAGGCCTCCTTCCCTACAAGCTTGCAACGTGTCCTAATTTGTTGTCTTTTCTTGCAAAATGAGCAGTTGCTGTCAAAACTTCTTTCTTGTCAATTCAGCAATGAGAAAGAGTCTTTCCCATTTTGTTCCAATAGCATAATTGGCATGTTACTGATTCATAATGGCTATGATTTCATTCATAAATAATGGTTGATTGGGTTCTTGTGTCAGAGAGCGGCCACTAAGTGGGCTAAGACCAGAGAAACACATTCCAGATTTCTGCTTTCTTTAGTGAATGTCAGCGATCTCTGCTGAATGATAAGCTTTGATTCCACCCTTGGTGACAGACACCCTGGCTGACCTCTGCCAGAATTGTAGGGAAATTGCTGCACAGGCAATTCAGGTGGCTTGAAATGATCTCTTCTCCATATCTCTGGGGGGAACACTTATATTATAAATTAAGAAGCTTCAGGGTGATTTTATTTGAGCACCTCAGTTTGGTGTGACTTACAAACCACTCTAAGTTAGTAGTTTCATGTCTGTGATTATTGGAGGTGGTGGAGGCCCCTCAGATACAACTCCCTGCTCTGTAGGCAACACCATCAAGACAGTGTTTGAAGTAGACCCAGGAGTGGACTGCGGGGCTTGCTGCCTGGAGGTGGGCATTGTTTCCTTCTTTCACAATGGAGATTTCACCCAAAAAGACCACCAGGCTGGTGACAGCTGAAAGGAAAGATGTATTAGTGGTATTGATTTGCAAACTGGAAAGAGATAGTCTCCTTTGTGGACCAAAGATGCTTTTTCTTCAAAAAGCGGAGGGCCAGTTGAGTTTTTATGCAGAATCCATATTACACAACAGTCATGCCTATTCAACAGGCTTGGGGGAAAGCTATACACATTTATGAGTGGAACTAAGGGCGTGAACAGCGGGTGAACACATGTAATATGCATCACATGTTCACTTCTGGGCAGGATTTCAGCATTCAAATTTGGCTCTTTGCATCAAAAGGTGACCTGATGGCACAAAGATAGTGCACAGCCTCGATAAGCTGGTGCCGTCTAAACAGCAAGGGGGCTTCCATCTACCTCCAGTTGCAAAGATGCAATGACTGAGATGAGGGTTGCCACGGAAGTAAGGAACTTTTAATGCAACAGACACCTTTTTGGGAGAAGCCACCTGAAGTCTGTCTCTCCAACTAACTGAGATCCTGGGCTTTTAAAGGACGGGCCACATGCCTCGAGCAGGTTGTGGTGTAACTAACAAGGGGCTACAGCCATTGGGGGCAGGTTGTAGGGGAGGACGGATGTTGGGCCTTCAGAATCCCAGTTCCTTTGTCTGGCAGAAAATCCACCATTTCTGGAAAACAAAAGATCAAATAGTTTGTGAAGAGAAAAGACTATTAAAAAATATCCAGGGGTCACTGGAATTCATCCATAGAGCCAGGTACACTGGCTATCACTGGCCCACAGTCTGCAGTTGCTTCTCAGAAAAGAACATTTGTAAAGCTGGTCCAATGACCGATCAGAGATGTAGTGGTCTGTGTTGTTATCCTAATCAGAATTAGGATAATTTGCCTGATAAGGACTTTAGCAAGAGTATGTTTTTCTTGTACCCACAGAAATTTAGAAATTTGCCACACCCACCAAATCCAGAACCCTTGACCCATAGGTGATTTTTGTTTCCTTAACTATCCAGCCTGTCTTAACTGATAAAGGGGCAACAGTGTTGGTCTCTCCGATCACAGAGTTATATAAGGGGCACGTACTATATCACAGGTGACCACAGAAAAAGAAATGGGCTGGTCATTTGCCTGAACCACTTGCTGCTCCTTTTCTCTCTGAACTGCAGGGGCTGGAGTCCGGACACTGTCTACCTCATCCACCTGGGGCTCGGTTAGCTTTAGCCTACAGGGACCCACTTAGAACACCAGAGCTTGTGCTGGGAAAACTGTCAGAATCACAGTGGAGTTAGTAATGTTAAGACAACTCAGACAAATGAGCCCGGGAAGTCCGGGAAGAGAAGGTTCTCATGCTCGTATGCTTGGTAACCAAAAAGACTACAGAAATCACTGCACAAAGGCTGCATAAAGGCCATCACAACCATACACACAAAAAAGTCCCAGCAATTGCCTGTCCCCCTCAGACTAGCCTCATGCTTGTTATTGATCTTTGTAGCCAAGGATAATTATAAATATTTCAAAATGATGATGTAATCCTTTAAAAACATTTGTCTTCCTTTGCCTCCTCGAGTATAGATTACTGTGGCCATGAGAATTTCCACTTCAATGCCTTATATCCAAACAAACTCCTTTTCTTTAGAGAGTCTCTCTCTGTCTGTTATTTAGATTGACAGTATAAACATTATTTTAAGCTTAAGACACTTGAGATTCAATGGTTACAAAAAGAAGCCTTCTGGGAGTTCCCCTTATCTGACAAAATGCAGAAACTTCTCAATAAGGCTGCCATAAAATCTCTTTTTAGGGGGCAGATGTACTCCCAGGTTTGAAGCCAAGAGTAAATCTCCGCTCCCCCAGGAAGAAGACAAAAAGATGACTCACGCCTGCATGGGCAAACCTTATGGGAAACTATATCTCAGGGCTTTTCCCCCTAAAAACCTCTCTGTCTTTCCTAAAGAACCATGTTTGCTCTTCCATTAGAAACCTTTTCTCCTGCTTCCCTTTCTCCTACGACGTTTGCTGTATTAGCTCCAGATTTACCCACATCACGTGGAGTTATTTATCATTGAGCCTCTTGCTACTACCGCCTGAGCATTGTACACACAAATAAACTCCGCCTTTTCTCTTGTTAATCTGTCTTTTGTCAGTTAAGTGCACAGGTCCTGAGCTACTGAACCTAAGAGGATAAAGAAAAAGTTTTTCCTCCTCTGCAGGCCAATGGGAGGCACCCCCTGGAGACAGGGCAGCATCTCTGGCTACTGCTCCTCCAGGGATCCAGCTTCTGTGAGATGGGCCCTCCACAGTCTCAGCCCCTCACACGGGCCCCAGACTCCTAAGGCCACCTTCTCTCTTGCTCTCGCAAGTCCTGCAGGGGACAGCGGCTTTCTGCTAGTGTAATACCTGGCTCATCCCTGTCCTTTGACTTTTCAACTCTCTTACCACATTCATATTTAGTCCCCCACATTACATTCTCTCTACTGAATTATCTGAGATAAGCCCTGTTTTTGAAACTGGACCCTCTCTGATAAAACAGGTAGTCACAGTGTGGTCCTCCTCATCACCATTAGGTCTTTTCTAATGCCAGCCATCTTTAACACTTTACAAGGACAGGAGATTATTAGCATTTTGAGGATGTAGGAGAAAACATCTTTTCCCTCCACCCTCCTGGGTTCAACATCTAGGGCCCAGGGATTAACCTGATAGAAAACAGATTAATAAGGGCTAGGCATGGTGGCTAACACCTGTAATCCCTGCACTCTGGAAGGTTGAGGCATGTAGACTGCCTGAGCTCAGGAGTTTGAGACCAGCCTGAGCAAGAGCAAGACTCCATCTCTAAAATTAGCCGGGCGTTATGGTAGGAGCCTGTAGTCCCAGCTACTTAGGAGGTTGAGGCAAGAGGATCTCTGGAGCCCAAGAGTTTGAGGTTGCTGTGAGCTATGACATCATGGCACTCTATTGAGGGTGACAGAATGAGACTCTGTCTTGAAAAAAAAACCAAACAGATTAATGGGGGGGAAAAACAGTTTCAGTTACATCCATGTGCATGAGAGTTCACCAAGAAATGCCTCAAGGAGATGGCCCTATGATTGATGCTTATAGGGAAAACTCAAGGCTTCACAAGGGGGAAAGGGCTGGGCTTCAGAGCAGGGGAGGCAAGTTATCGCCCATAAGGAGAGGATAAATGGTAAATGGTAGATGAGGGCTGTCACATCATCCAGATCAGAGTCTGTCTGGTGAGAAGAGTTATCTCCCCAGAGTAGCTTTATTCTTGGAAGGGAGACATCTTTACAAATGGAAATTTCCTTTTAAAATGTACACTTGCTTTTCAGAAAACAAAAATTAAATACTTTTAGGCAGTTTGGGGAAGATAAAGAACTTTTCCTTCATCTGCTGGTTCTCAGTTGCCTTAATTCAAAATAATCCTTAAGTCAAAAAGAAATATTTTGAAAAAAACATACTGGTACCCTTGAAGGACAGTGGGAACTGGATAAGCCAGCTGGCTGGCAAAGGAAGAGATAATTGGGCTGCTTGCCGTGGCATGGGGTCATGATGCGAGTGAGGAATAACAGGGGAAAGGAAAGGTGACGTCCGGAAAGCTGAGCGGGGGAAACGGGCCTGCTTCTAGAATTTGAACACTGCTGAAAAGCTTCCTCTAATCTTGCTGCAGAAACCAGAAAGTCATCGATTTGAGACCCGGGTAGACAGAGGGTAGCGCCTGTTTGAAGTTGCTCCATGCAGCCCACACCCTCTGTGGGGTTTCCTGTGTGCTGCAGAAAATGCAGAGGTGGGTCTGATAGGGCGGCGATCTGGAGAGACGTGCGGCTTAGCAGCACAGACAGGATCCTCATAAATAAATGCACCAACAGTGGTAAGAGGAATTCAAGGGAAACGGCAGAAACAGAGCTGAAGGACACGAGAAGAGGGTGTTATAAAGTATAAGCAAGGCCAAGCTGGTCCCACTCATCACAGCATAGCCAGTAAGATGAGAAACAAGGTGTCAGAGGAAGAAAGCAGCTGTTATCTGGAGAGCCAACAGCCTCGGGTGTCAGGCTAGAGTCCTAACAGACCATTTTAAGTTAGCACAAACTTTAGGCACCTTTTTATCTTAAGGAAAGGGGAAATGGAGGGGGTTGTTACCACCAGACCAGGTTCCTTGCCCACTGCCTAGAAGGACACCAATCCATTGTGACAGCCAGGCTTGCAGCAGAGAAAGAATTTAATATCCCAAAGTACCA